ATTTCATTATTTTATTTGTCATTTTTCTAGTCCTGTGCTAATGGCACATATATGAGAATTTCATTTCCAGAAATATAGCAGGTTAGGCTATGTAATTAGGACTAATTAACCTTTAGAAAACAAGAAAATATGTAAATGTATATAGTGTATATTTATATATATGTGTGTATATATGTATATATATGAAATTACTAGGTCATAATGTAAAGGAAAATAAAAACTCAAAGTAATAAATGGAATATGTCACCCAAATTGCTTTGATTTCATCTATTGACCAACCCAGACAAACTTGAACTTTGATTCTTATAGTTTGGCAGTTCTGAGGCAAATAGAAATGAAAGCGCAAGGCCTTTTCAAAGCAAGGGATCATTTCCACTTTAATCTGTGAAACCAAAGAGTTTCATTATTGAAGTAAATGTGAATTATACTGTTGATGCCCTTAGCAGCATGTCAGAAATGAAGGTCTATCTCTAAGGGAATATATCTTTGTCCTAGGCCCCAAAGAAACCCCAGTAATAGTATTTTAGCCACATCATCAATACACAGTTAAAAATAACTAAGTAAATACAAGGAGAAAAACTCCAGGAACGAAGATGCTATAGACTTCAGATATACAAAGTGTTGGATATATATTACAAGGCAATTATGCTTACTGTACATATATAAATACAACTGAAAATGTATGTAAATAACAGGAAATTATAAAAGTGACACAACCAATTTTTAAACAGACTATTTTTTTAGGGTAGTTATTAGATTCATAGCTATAATGAGCAGAAGGTACAATGATTTCCTATATACCCTCTACTTCAACAATGCATAGCATTCCCAACATCAACATCCCCTACCAACATGATACATTTGTTAACAATTGATGAATCTACATTGACCCATTGTTATCAATCAAAGTCTATAGTTTACATTAGGTTTGCTCTTGGTGTTTTACATTCTGTGGGTTTGGGCAAATTTATAATTACATGTATGCACCATTATATCATCATGCAGGTTTTTATTGCTCTAAAAATCCTCTATGATCAGCTTATTCATCCTTCCCTCCCCGCTAACCCCTGGTAACCACTGATCTTTTTACTGTCTCCATAGTTTTGCCTTTTCCAGAATGTCATACAATTGGAATCATACAGTATGTAGCCTTTTCAGAATGGTTTATTTTACTTAGCAATATGCATTTAAGTTTCCTCTATGTCCTTTCATGGCTTGGTAGCGCATTTCTTTTTAGCACTAAATAATATCCCGTAATCTGGTGGTAGCACAGTTTATTTATTCATTCATTTACTGAAGGACATTTTGGTTGCTTCTAAGTTTTGGCAATTGTGAATAAAACTGCTATAAACATCCATGTGCAGATTTTTGAGTGTATGAATATTTTCAGCTCCTTTGAGTAAATGCCATGCAGCACAATTGCTGAATTCTATAGTAAGAGTATATTTAGTTTTGTAAAAAGCCACCAAATTGTCCTCCAAAGCGTCCATGCTATTTTGCATTCCCACCAATAGTGAATGAGAGTTCCTGTTTCTTCACCTCCTTGCCAGCATTTGCTCTTGTCAGTGTTCTGGATTTTGACCATTTTAATAGGTGTGTAGTGTATCTTAATATTGCTTTCATTTGTAATTCTTTGATGACATATAATGCGAAGCATCTTTTCTGTTAAAAAATAAGGCCCATTGTTTAATTGTTTTTTGTTCTCGTTGTTTTCTTATTGTTAAATTTTAAAAGATCTTTATATATTTTGGTTAATAGTCCTTTATCAGTGTGTCTTTTGCAAATATTTTCTCTCATTCTGTGCTTGTCTTTTCATTCTCTTGATAATGTATTTGGTAGAGTGTATATTTTTAATTAAAAAAGTCCAGCTCATCAATCGTTTCTTTAATAGATTGTGGTTTTGGTGTTGTATCAAAAAAGTCATTGCCAAACCCAAAGGCTTCTAGATTTTTTCCTGTTACCTTCTAGGAGTTTTGTAGTTTATGGTTTCCATTTAGGTCTGTGATCCATTTTGAATTAAATATTGTGAGGGTTTAATGTCCACAAGTAGATTCAATATTTTGCATGTGTTTAAGCACAATTTGTTGAAAAGACTATCTGCTCTATTGTATTGTCTTTGCCAAAGACCAGTTGACTATAAATATGTTAAGTAAGAAGTAAACTTTTATTTCTCTAAGTCTTCAGATTGACTCTTAATATTAGATGAGATATTAAATCTGTGTTTAATTAGCCAAACTATTCCATAACTTTGTAATGATCTACAAACATCTAAAAAATGTCTCGCTTATTATAGAAACTCGAACTTTAATAAAATGTATTCATATAATATAAGTACTTTCTTATTTAATCGAATTTCAGAAAGCTGTTTTTCCACTTTGTTAAAACATAATAAGTATCTATGAATAAAATACTGGGAACACTATTTCATAATTATTTTGATTTCAGGCTGGACAGCAGCGTTGGTGGGAACAAGAGATTAAAATAAATGGAAATATTCAAAAAGGAGAATTAATTACATATAATTTGACTGAGCTAATTAAACCAGAGGCTTATGAAGTGCGACTAACTCCTCTCACCAAATTTGGTGAAGGAGATTCAACAATTCGTGTCATCAAATATAGTGGTAAGTAGACATTTATTTAAAAGTATTCATTTGAATATTAAACTATCTGGAATATGTAGGTTGCAACTATCTACCAAATTTAGACACAAACTAAAATTTAGCATATTGATTTTCTGGGTCACCAGCCAAGTGACCAAAAATCAAAAAACAAACACCCCAAACCCAAAAAACTTTATCATTATAAATTGAAATATTTGATTATAAATGTAGAGATATAGAATAATGTTTTACTTAACATTAAACCTATGCGATAATGTCAACAATGTCCTTTGATTTTCCATTTTGTGTTGTGATGCGATATTTCTGTATTTTATTTTTTTTAATTCTTGATGGCTTTAAAATTTATGTCATTAAGAAGTTAGCTAATATGATCAAATGTTTTTTTAATTTTTTTTTAAATTAATGGACTTTATTTTTTAGAATAGTTTTACATTTCTAGAAAACCGAGCAAAAAATATAGAGAACTCTCACATATGCCCTCTCTCCCAATGTATTTTCCTCCACTATTAACATCTTACATCAACGTGGTACATTTGTTACAATTCATTAACATATTGACATTTTATCATTAAAGTAAATACTTTGCATCAAGATTTATTATTTATGGACTTTGGCAAGCGTATAATGTTATCCACCATTACAGAAGCACATAGAATAGTTTCACTGCCCTAAAAATCCCATGCTCCACCTATTTGTCTTTCCCCCACTTCAACCCTTAAAACCACTGATCTTTTTATTGCCTGCAGTTTTTTCTTTTCCAGAATATTGTATAGTTAGAATCATACAGCATGTAGCCTTTTCGAACTGTCTTATTTCACTGAGCAGTACACACTTAAGGTGTTCTCATGTAGCTTAATAACTTACTTCTGTTTCTTGTTAAATAATATCCCATGATAGAATATATCACAGTTTGTTTATCCATTTACCTATTGAAGAACATCTTAGTTGATTTTTTTTGTTTTTTTTTTTCTTTTAGATTGCTAACTTTAAAAATAACTAAATATGTGTGTTTTTGAGTATGTTAGTGAGAGAGTTTGCTTTTATAAACTATATGCATTTAATACATCTTCACTACTTAAATGTCCTATTGAGCAAAAATTGAAACTAGTATAAAACTGTAAAAAAATTAAAAGTTGGTCAAAAACTTTAAAAAATAGAAACAATAGAAATTAGACATACTTTTTCAATTTTATTTTTATTTGGGACGACATTGCTTAGTAAAATTATATAGGTTTCAAGTGTACAATTCTATAATACATCATCTATAAATTGCATTGTATATTCACCACTCAAAGTCAAATCTCCTTTCACCATATATTTGACCCCTTTTACCCTTTTCTATCTCCTCTTACCCCCTTTTCACCTGATATATTGTTTTACTGTATACTAAACAGATCAATATTTTATCAGTTGAAATTTATGTTCATTTTTCAGTAGAAATTTATATCAACAACTAGCTCCAGAATTGTAAAAATATTTTTCAGAGTTGAATGAATCAGTGGCATATATTTAATATTTGTTTCCTTAATTCAGTGAAATATTTTTTTATCATTATCAGAGTTTGACTTAAAACGATAATATGATGTGTTTTTTTTTTTTCAGTTGTAGGTCTCCATTCTGTTTGGCATTAAGAAAGAAACAGTAAATTCTGTCAAAAGTGAAAATAAAGGAAAATTATTAAAAACTTATCAGAGTTGCATTTTCATATAAAGTCATTTTTTTCACTCTCAGTCAGAGTGTATTGGGCATGATATATTCAATCTTCATCAAAAAATTAATATCTATAACATAGAGTAGAATATTCATAGACAATCAAGGAATTTAAAAGATTTAGAATAACTATATATCTTTTTTCTTGAATGTGGTCCTTTAAATATATATGTTTGTAAAAGCATTAGAGTCACTGCACATCTTTTCTTGAATGTGGTTCTTTAAAAATATATCTTTTTCATGTTAGTGATGTAAATATTATGAGAAATGATAATTGTTATTCTTTAATTACTTCCCTGATTTCATTGGACAGACAACTAGAAAACATTCAACTATATTTTTCTAAAGTTATAGTTTTATATGTTTTATAAAATATTAATTATCTCTTCTTATCTTATGTTTATTCTCCCTGCCTCTAAGTTGTAAACCCTGGACCGTTTAATATAGAGGGATATTAGAAACTATGCATTGATATTTATTCCTTTAAAAGATGAATAAATTAGGACCTAGAAAGTTTCAGTGTCCTGTAGAGTTAAACAACTATGAAATGACAAACTCTAAGTAGAACTGGATAGATTCATTACAGAGGATTTATGCTTCTTTGCTAACTTTAGAAATTATCATGACTTTTTTTAGAGAGATAAAGGAAAACATTTTCATGAACTCAGTAGTTCTTATTGAAAAATCTGAGACAACCAACTAAAATGAAAAACACATCTAGAAAGTAGATATTATGTTTAGTTTCAATTTTCTTTAATTATCTTTACATTCTTAGGCATACGTATTAAAATCATAAACATTTCAATTAAAAATTGATTTTATGTAACATAGATTTAGGTAAAGTATACTTTAGTGCTATATAGGCATTTATAAGAAATTATACATGTAAATTTGAAAGAAGAAAAATAAAGTCACTGCAATATTTAGAATTTAGAATGGCAAATTTTTTACAAGGATCATTGTGCTATTCATAGTGAATCTGGTGATGAAAAATATTGCAGAAGAAGACTTTAAAATTCATTCTGATCAGAAGTTACCTGTATTTGTGACATATTTTCTAAAATTAAATTATAATTCAAAGATGCTTATTTCTCCAAAAGAATACAAAAATAATTTTATAATTTCACATTATTTTAATTATGAAATAATTTTAATTTTTACTAATTAATTTTTAAATTAAAATATACTGATATTTTGCAAAAAAAAGAAAATTATTTTTTCTCCACTTTAATGGAACTAATAAATGTATAGTCCCTTCTATATATTATTAATTTTATAATTTACAATGGGAAATACAGAATCAGAAAAATAACTAAAGTAATGGGACTAGTCTGTCTTCTGTATGAAGGAATAGCAAAACTAATCGAGACTAACTCACTTGTTAAAATTAAACTCAATGTACTAATATATGAATCATATATGAACATGTTTTGTGCATGTGTATGTGTTATTGACTATCATAATTTTCTAGTAATGTCCAAGTTGGATGAATGGTTAACATCAGAGTAGACAAACTTTTGCAGGTTAGAATAACTGCCCATTGTAACCTTGGGCGACTACAACAATGGTTTTCTTCATTCATAATGGAATTTTCTTTCAGAGTGATAAATGCCTAATCAATATACAGATATCATTTGTCTCAGGTTAGATATATTTTTGTTGTTGCTTCAGTAAAATGTAAAGTATTCGTTCCTCTTCAGGTAGAAATCAATTGGCACTTGTATTACAAACACGATTAGTTTTTTAAGGTAAATATTCTTCTGGTGCACAAAACCTCAAATGTGTTACCTAACATTTGAAAATGCTGTATGTGTGAGTATATGTGTGTGTTAATGTAATTAACAAAGCAAGATTGAATTGACAATTTGTTTTAAGACACATATAATGACATGATATAAGGATTGCTTTATTTTCATATATATCATGTTATTTTCACCAAAAGTAGATAATGGCCAAAAAACTAAAGTAGAATCTCTGTTGAGTAATTTCTTTCATTGTTCAAAGATCTAGATTATATATTGGCCTACTATCAGCTTCAGTTTTGATTTCTGGGTTTTGTTTAGGTTAAGATATAAAAGTTCAGCAACTATTCTTTGGAAAATGACAAACCCATGTGCAATTTCACATTGATTTTTTTGATACTTTGAGGCTGTTATTGCAGAGCTCCAAAGTCGATTCTATTCAATCCTCTAGAACAAAATGGATTGCAGATATAAAATTCAAAGGCCACAGTGGGGAAGATCATTAAGTTTTGTTAAAGAACTATGAGACACTGGTTAGACTTTTATTTATAAAAGACATTTAAGTTATGCTAACATTATTTTTTGCTTTTCTTGTAGCTCCTGTTAATCCTCATTTAAGTAAGTATATTTTTTCTTTCAAAATGGCACTGTATTTCACAATTAAAATAGAAAATACATAAACAAATATTATTTAACAACTATTCTTATTTGGTTTAAAATGAACTGGCTCAGAAACAGTAAAACTGGCATTAAATGTGAATTTTAAATTTCAAAGATTATTAATATAAAGACAAATTATTTAATATTGATAATTGATTTTTATAAGTTTTTCTAAATATGGAGCCATTTACCACAGCATGCTTAACATTTGTGATTTGTATAACTATGAGTTTATTTTTTCTTTTGTGACATTACATACCATTTTTGTTGCAATTATTTTTCTTTAATTTTCATTTTTTTATTTCTATATTTCACTCATAAAAGACTATTGTTACTTAGAAAGTTGGTATTTGAATGGTTTAATCAAAATTTTTCATAAATCACTATTCTATAGTCCAATCTTTTATGAAAGAGAAGATAATCTGGTCATCATCCTCTTGGTAATATTTCACAAAAAAATTAAGGATTGATTTTTTTCTCCTATTTTGTGTCTAGGAATATATTGTTCTTGGTTAATAAAAGAATAAAGAGCCTCTTTGCACTCTTGCTCCCATCCATCTAACATTCACAATTACCCATACTTAGGGAATAAACATTCAAGTCTTATTTTTTATTTTACTGTGTTTCCTTTTCTGCAATGGCCTTTTACTGACTATGTAACAAATACAAAAAGATGTAATTTTTTTCTTGTGATATTTTCTACCAAAGATCCTCTTTATTTCTGTATATCTAAATTATAATGCTGAATATTTTTATAGTTCTTTATTGTTTCCATATTGCTTTCATGAATAAAAGTTCATTTAGTCGTCACAATGACTCTTTAATGTGGATATTATTATCAATCCTTTGAGGTTCTTTTTCATATAAGGTTTAGTACAAACAAGTGTTCCTTCCTAAACATTCCCTATTTTTTTATTTTTTTCATATCCTCCAGTAGATTATAAAGTACATAAGAGCTAAATCTGTTTCTAATTTCTCCCTATATCTTACTATCTTTGTGTCTATCACAGCATTTCATGTTTAGCAGGCATTCAATGATTATTTGTTAAAAAAACAAATAAATGACAACTTTAGGATGAATTAATTACATAAATCAGGTTCTCTGTGCCTTCTACCCTGGGCACTATTGTTAGTTAATTACTATATTGATTATAATTCCTTTTAAGGTAAGATCTCTAACTGCGCACTCAGTAGAAATGTTTAAAAAGAGTCGCAGGAAGATTAAAATTAGATAGAGAAAAAAACTTACAAATTTTTCAATTCAGAAAAATTTTTGAGTATATTATTGTATATGGTGACCTTATGTAGTAGGTGCCCTGTATATCCCAGTGCTGCAGTCTACCCGATCACCTGCACTGTGTGCTCCAGGAGTGACCTTTGTGTGGGTTGTGTGTGCCCTCCTGTTGTAGTTGAGCCTTGATTTCTGTTGGCACATCAGTGGTGGAATTGATTCTCAGGATGACTGGCTGCGAGTACTGGCCACAGTCACAGTATATGAGCTGTTGTGTGTGGCTGATCCCACAGTGTGGGATTCACTCCAAACACCTCATGTGCCTGTTGAGACCATCCTCTGGGTGTGCCATCATTAAGCTAATCAGCTGGTACTCGGTTATGGTCTGATGCCAGTCGCCAAGTGTATTGGTTCTAGGGCCCCTTGGGAGGGGCACCTGTGGAGGCCAAGATCAGCTCCTGCTTATGAACAGTGTGGGCCTACCTGGTAGGACCTACAAAGCTATCTGCTGTTGGTCAAGTCCTGTGCTGAATCTGGAAGTATGTGGGAGAGACCAAGCAGTGAACCAAGGCTGGCTGCCATCATTACCGGGCCTGGGGAAGCTCAGCAAAAGGCAAAGGGCATCCTAAGGCCTGAGGCTGCTTGCTGGCTGCCAGAAGGCTCAGCAACTGAAAGAGCTTCAGGCAGTAGGTGAGTTGAGTTAGGCACGGTCCCAGGGAGTTGCCAGGGTAGGGTGAGTGATATTCACAAAGTTAGTGCAGATTCAGATTTGGCACCAGATTTGGAACCTGTGGCCACTCACATAAGTCTCAGATCATACCCGGGCCAGCCACTGCCTGCCTTAGGCCCACAGATCTCTGAGATTTGTTCAAGAAATACTGCAGCTTGGGTAGGGCTAGTTGCCCATGACTGAAAGTGTCTTTGGAGGTGTAAGAGTTGAGTCCTGTTGATTGCTGCTAAAGGAGCACCCTGCTGTGTGCAGGGTGGGGCTGGTTGCCAAGCCAGAAAGTGCCTCTAAAGTGGTAGTTGGGTGGGGTGGGGTCTCAAGGAGCCTGCTTATATGCTGCACAGGAGATGGACTCAACACAGAGATAATGGTGGCTTTCCCTCCGGCTCTCACCTTGAAGCCATACAACTCAGTCTTTCCTTGTATGTCTCTTGTACCTCCCAAGCTGCTGTTCCTCTGCTGGAGCCCAGAGTGAGCGTCTGCGAGCCAGTGAGTCTTATGCATGAGCCCTTTAAGAGGATATCTGGTTTCCAGCAGCCTTCCATCTCATGAAGACAGTAGAATTCCAAGTGATTTTACAGCCAGATGTTGTAGAGACTCCTTTTCCCAGCACTGAAATCCTGGGCTGGAGAGCCCTGGTGTGGGGCTGGGGCCCCTCACTCCTCTGGGGTGGGAACCTCCACAGCTGAGATATCCCTCCCAAAGCTCAACATCCACACATGAGTGTGGGTCCAGACCGTTTTGCATCTCTGCCCCTCCTTCCAGTCTCGGTGTGGCCTCTTCTTTATATTCTTAGTTATAGGAGTTCTGTTCAGCTAGTTTTCAGATGATTCTCCTGGTTGATTGTTCTACAATTTAGTTGTAATTTTAATGTGGTCATGGGAGGATGCAAGCAGTGCCATCTTGACCAGAACTTGTGTGTAACACTTATTATTTATCTAAATGTCGATTAATGGACACTTCGGTTGGTTCCATATCTTGGTTATTGTAAATGATGCTGCAATGGTATATGAACATTGGGATGCATATATGTTTTTGAATTATCATTTTAGATTTCTTCAAATAAATACTCAGAAGTGGTATTGCTAGGTCATAAGGTAGTTTTTTTGGGCGGGAAATTTTTATCCATAGTGGCTGCACCAATTTCCAATCTTACTAACAGTGCACAAGGGTCCTCTTTTCTTCACACCCTCACCAACATTTGTTTTTTGACTTATCAATAGCCATTCTGGCAGGTGCGAGGTGATATCTTTTAATTTGCATTTTTCTGATGATAGTGACCTTGACAAACTTTTCATATGTCTATTGGCTATCTGTATGTCATCTTTGGAGAAACGTCTATTCAAGCCCTCTGCTAATCTTTTAATTGAATTTTTTTTGGTTTTTGGTGTTAAGTAAGTGGTTTTATTTTAGTATTTTAATACTTTATTTTTTAATTACAGTTGGCATTCAATATTATATTAGTTTCAGATGTACAAAATAGTAATTAGACATTTATATAACTTACAAAGGGATCACTACAATAAATCTAGAATACACATATGAGTTCTTCATAAGTATTAAATATTAACACTTTTTGTCAGACGTATCTTTGGCATATATCTTCTCCCCATCAATAAGTTGTCTTTTTCTTTGTTGATGGTTTCCTTTACTGTGCAAAAAAACTTTTTAGTTTGATGTATTCCCATTTGTTTATTTTTTATCAAGAAGATGACTTCATAAATTATATAAATGTCTAACCACTATGCTGTGCACCTGAAACTAATATAAAATAATATTGAATGTCAACTGTAATTGAAAAAAACTGTATTAAATAAAAAAAATAAAATAAAATAGTCAAACTCATAAGCAGAGAGTAAAATGGCTGTTGCCAGGAATAAGGAAATAGAAATAGGAAGATGTTGATCAAAGGTTAAAGACTTTCAGTTTTGTAAGATGAGTTAGTTCTAGAGATCTAATGCACAGCATGGTGACTATACTTAACAATACTGTATTGTATAATTGAAATTTGCCAATAGTGTAGATCTTAAGAATTCTCACCACAAAAAGAAAAGAAAAAAAAGAAATAATGTTAACTATAATACTGTGATATGTGGAGTGATAGATATATTGATTCACTTGATTGTGTTTATTATTTCAAAATGTACATGTATATCAAAACATCAAGTTATTCACTTCGAATATATACAATTTTTTGTCAATTATACCTCAGTAAAGCTGAAAAAAATAAATGGAAAGGGTGGGTGGGGTAAGAGGACCATTGGACTAGAGGACTATTAATCATCAGGCTACTTATCTCTGAGTTTTGATTCTTTCTTCACCATATCGGATAAGATTCAGAGAAATAAAACACAATTTTAGAGACCATTTTAGCAGAATATTTCAAATATATTTTTTTATTTCCATGTAGTCTCTGAAACTCTGCCAAAATCATGTTGTAATTAGAAATCTAGTGAAAAATTCAAAAAGAAGTCAGCCTTCAGTTCCATATCTCTGTGAAAATCCTAGACTTTATTACTTTTTATTTTATAATATATTTTAATATTTAATATTATATTTATTTCAATAAGTTTTTAGAGGTGAATGTGTTTTTATTACCTGTCAAGATAGTCCTTATTCTGATAAACATAAAGTGTTTTTGCATATTTCTATAATTATCTCATATAAAATGACACGATAATCATAAAATTATGATTGTCCTAAGTAGTGGAGCTTTTTTACATTTTACCTGCCAACTTTTCTTAAAATCTCTCGAGTAATAGATTTTTCACTGTAAAGATATATGTCCACTGAAACAATGAACTATTGAGATTACTTTTATATTTCTTTGTCCAATGTGAATTATGGTGGTCTTATATCTCCTTCAAATTTATTATAAACAACTGTTACATATAAAATAACCCAAATTATAAAAAATTTTAGTGATATCTAAAGTTATAGGCCTATCTTATGTTTTCATAAGCTGTATTGTAGCTTAATTTTACTATGAGAAACTTAAATACTCCAAAAATTTGTTCTTTTTTTGAAGGCAATCTTTTTCTCTTTTTAAACAAGGCAAAATAAAATTACACAAAAGATATGTTTAAGTGGTATCATAAAATTTATTATACATAATTTAGAATAACATCTAAAAAGTAAGGTTTGGCAGATTTATAAATATAGGCTGAAATTCTCAATCTTTTTTTTTTTGACATTTTGTTTATGTATATATTATTAAGCAAATGAAAGCATTTGAAATCAAACATTTGCCTTATCATGACTCCTAAGTAGTACCTAAAAGAATCTCATATTGTGCCTAAAAGTCATCTATTCATGCATATAACTACATTTCTGTCACCAACATTAGATCTTCAATTGATAGCATCAAGAGGTCATGTCTTGTTTAGTACCAGATTTGTAGCATAAATATTTTATGTGGAATATTGTTTATCCCATAAATTTACTGATTTAGAAACCCCTAAATGCATATATATACTCTGTAAACCATCTTACTCAAAATATACAATATAAATAAACACAAAGAGGTGCAGCATTTCTTTAATCTGAAAAAAAAAAAAATAAGGCAAAACAAAAATTATTTCTTAAACCCAAAGGAAAGGTGTCTGTTTTATTTTTATTCCTTTTTCTTTCTTCCCTTTCTTCCTCCTTCCCTCCCTCCGTCCCTCCCTTCCTCCCTTCCTCCCTCTCTCCCTCCCTTACTCCTTTCCTTCCTTCCTTCCTTTATTCTTTCTCCTCCGTTTCTTCTTTTCTCTCTCTCTCTTTTTTTTTTTTATTGTGATGAAAACAGTTAACATGAGATCTGCCTTCTTTATGCATTTTTAAACGTACTTTTAACCACAGGGACAATGTTGTACAATGTAGTACTTTTAACCATAGGGACAATGTTGTACAGCAGATCTCTAGAACTGACTCATCTTCCATAAATGAAAATTTATACTTTTTGACGAATATCTCCCCATTTCCATCTCTCCTCAGTCTCTAAAAACCTCTATTCTACTCTTTGCTCTATATATTTGACTTCTATTATATTCCACATATAAGCGATATCATGCAGTTTTGTTTTTCTTTCTGTGTCTGACTTTTTCACTTAGTACAATGTCCTCCAGGGTCATCCATATTGTTGCAAATGGTGGGGTAACCTTAACTTTTAAGACAATAATATCTCATTGTATATATCTGCCACAATTTCTTTATCCATTCATCCATCAACGGACACTTAGGTTGTTTCCATATCTTGGCTACTGTGAATAATACTGCAGTGAACATGGGAGTGCATATCTCTTTGAGGTACTGATTTCATTTCCTTTGGATATATACTCATAAGACAGATTGTTGGATCATGTCGTTCTATATTTAGTTTTTTTGGGTAATCTCCATGCCATTTTCATAATAGATGTATTGATTTACATTTCCACCAATCATGTACAAGTACCATATTCTTGATTACTGTAGCTTTGTAATACATTTTAAAATGAGTAAGTGTGATGCCTCTAGCTTTGTTCTTGCTCATAATTGTGTTGGAAATTTTGGTTCTTTTGGGGTTTCAGATGAATTTTAGGAATGTTTTTTGTATTTCTATATAAAAAAATGCCATTGCTATTTTTATAGGGATTGCATTGAATTCATAGATCACTTTGGGTAATATGAACACTTTAACAATATTAATTCTTCCAATTCAAGAACTTGAGATATCTTGACTTTTATTTGTGTCTTCTTTAATTTTTTTAATCAATGTTTTATAGTTTTTTATGTGTCTTTCATCTCTTTGGTTAAGTTCATTCCTAAGCATTTTATTATTTTTATGTTATTGTAAATGGGGTAGTTTTTGTTTTTTTATCCCACTTTCAGATAGTTCATTGTTAGTATGTAGAAACAGAAGGATTAATTCAGGGGCATGATCCCAATTTCAAGGACTTTACTACTAAAGATATCTGATAAGTCTAACCAGTTGCAGGTGGGATGGGGTGGGAGTCTCTGTTCTTTAAAACTTTATATCTCTATGAGTTCCAGGGAATCTGTACTCAGTTTTGACTTTATTATTAACTAGCTGAACTTAGCCAAAGTTTCCTCCTTGTGAGCCTCACAAATTAGTATTACTGTGATTTTTCATAGAGTTGTAATGAGTTTGAACAAAATAATATAAACTATGTTTAAATTTTATTAGTTAAGGATCTTTGTGGGCATTATCATCTCCTTTATTTGCTCCTATATCTAAAGCAAGGTATATCCCAGTAAGAAAACCCTCTGATACCTAGAAACATCACTACCACCCTCATTTCAAGGACAGTTGAAGCAAGCTCTCTCTGAACTTGTTGGGTCTGAAATCCACATGTGACAGGCATCTAAAAAAATCTCAGTCTTTCCATCAGGTCTTCGTACAGTCTTCATTATTTCATCTCTAGTGAATTTCAAACACCTGGCAAATTTATATTCACATAAAGTATGAAAGATAGCTGCTTTTTAAAATAATTTGCCATTAGCTACCCCTAAGTAAACTTCCATTTGTGCAAATGGGCATCTCTAGACATGATGTGAAAAATTATAACCTCAAGGAATACAGCTTTAACATGCTGTCAGATAAATTAATAAAGATCATTTTCTAACTGACATTTTAGTTTGGATTGTTCCTATACTAAAAAGTGAAAGTTGAGAAAATTCTTCAGCCATAATCCAAAGTTGAATTATATTCGTTAATTTCAGTTATCTGAATATTTCAGAGGAAAATGGCTTGGTTTAAATTATTAAACATGAGACAGTTTATGTATCAATATTACTTTTCTTTTTTATTAAAATGAAATCATTTTACATTTAGTCATACTCTTGTGTTCAGTTATGGCTCTGCTGCCATTATTGTAATCTTATATTGCCATATAATGTTTTAAATTTCTCCTATAGGAATGTTGCAATGTTTGTATTTAATTAATATAATTAATATTAATCACTTTAATTAAATTTTTTAACAGGAGAATTTCATTGTGGATTTGAAGATGGTAACATTTGTTTGTTCACCCAAGATGATACAGATAATTTTGACTGGACAAAGCAAAGTACTGCAACAAGAAATACAAAATATACTCCAAACACAGGACCGAATGCTGACCGTAGTGGCTCCAAAGAAGGTATGAGGGTATGAAATGTTGTGTTCATAACAATCATATGCCAGCCTTGGAATGTTAGAAATGCCATTAATATGAAATGCAAGGGACTACTTAGCTATAGATTTGAAAATTGTGAAATAAAACATTAAAATTTTATTGCAGTATTAATAATTCAGATATTTCCGAAGTCTGTAGACAGTTTTCTCTCAGAATTTGCTGACAGATATAGTTGAGAGACTGGGATTTTTTTTTTTTTTTTTTGAAAATTTGTCTAAAATTCTAATTTTGTCTTGTTTCTATGCATTCTAAACAATGTTATCTTTAATTATGTAGATTATTTACTCTTTATATTATATCATGCATATACAGGTTTTATAAATGAGATAAAATCTTATCAATCTGTACTTGTATGAATACTCTAAAACTTCTCAGTGATTTCCAGTTTCATATTACCTAACAATAATGTTTAATCATTTTATTTTGTCTTTTTTAAGGTTTTTATATGTACATTGAGACATCTCGACCAAGATTGGAAGGCGAAAAGGCTCGACTTCTCAGCCCAGTTTTTAGCATAGCTCCAAAAAACCCTTATGGACCCTCGAACACTGCATATTGTTTCAGCTTCTTTTATCACATGTATGGACAACATATAGGTGAGGTGGCAAGAATTACTATTATTTTTTTCTCAAGTATATCATACCTAAGAAGAAAAATGTTCACAAACACACGTTAAATAAATTTTAGTCAAAGAATATCATTATTGACTTAAATGACTTATCTATAAATTGCAAAATAAGATGCTAACAATGTTCCCCTGTCATGTCCTAACTTCTCAAATTTAGATTAGAATTTGAAATTTTGGAGTATTATCTACCTATTTTGGAATCTTAAATCAGACCATTAATGGAATAAATTCTTAATGAGATATTCTTGTGGAATTTAATAAGGTATAGTTTACACTGATTCTTTTCAAAGAAAATTGCTTGAATTATCACTCAATGTGTATTAATGATCATGAAAATGAGTATTGTCATATTTAGAAGACAGTACTTTTAGCACCATTTATACATTTTGAATATTGGTATATTTTTTTCTTGTTATAAAGTATGCCTAATATATCTAGTAAGATTTGAGAATATCCTATGTCCTAAAGAGTATATGAAGATGAACAGACTCTCTGCTCTTAGACATTTTGAACAATAATGGAAGCTAAAATGAGTAATAGAATACCACATAACCTTGAGAAAGAACCTAGCAAAACTGTGGTGGGGGATGGGGAAGTCATACAGGTCTACAATTCTTTAAAGTGTGATTCTAAAATAAAATAATAATAATAATAATAACATTGCACACAGTTTTTGAAAAATTATTGACAGTTCATGCCAGCTTGCTCTACATGTGTTAGAATATATGACCTGAACTTGTATTGTTTTTTTATTTATATCGTCTGTATTTATCCAAATGAGTGTGAACATTTATACTATTTGTGGTAAAAATATTACTGTTTAATTATGGATTCTGTTCTAGATTTTTCCAGGAGATGTCACATAATATGCAAGATATTAGAAAGCTCTTTCAGCTTTCTAATATAAGACAAAATTCTGAATAAGGGAGCATATCCAGCTCCACAGAGCTTGGATGAGGGATTATGGATCTGTATCTTAAATAGTATCTTAAATAGTTAAATAATAAGGCAATGCTTTGGGACAAAAGAAAACCTTTCTTTGTAAAAGAAAGATATCTTTTCAGTACAGAGATGAGCACAGTGAAGATTAAGACACTGGTAATGAGGAAGTAAAATGTGAGAAATTAGGATGGCATTAAATGTTTTGATATAAATTAATAAAACAAATACAGAAATATATTTTATAAACTAATAAAATTGCACATATGATATATGCCAGCTACGGTACTCAGTGAAGTAATCCTCTTGATAATTTTTTTAAAATGAGTATCACTATCCATCTTTTACAGTAGAGAAAACTGAACCTTGGAGAGTTTGTATAAATTGCAAAGAACTGAGATTCAAACTCAGGGCCAGTACTATTAACCAGTATTTTTCACAGTGGAGCAATAGATGACAAGTGTATCAGGGTAGCTCTGTGCAGCAAAAAGTACCCGCAATATGAAGGCAGAAAATCTAGGCTGGAACTTAGCTGTAGCAATTTAAAGAATTTAGAGAAGTCACTTAACATGTTTAGATCTTAGTCTCCTCATCTGTAAAAAAGGAATATTAATTCCTATTTTAGAAATTAGCTGTTCGAGTTAAATGG